AAATAAACCTGACATACCATTTAATGATTCACCTTTTACAAAGAATAGGCAAGCAGAAAGGTTCAGAGATAATACATAATTCTTCCATTCTCTTCTAAAGAGTGTTTGGAGATCAGTTTTATTATTAATATAATTTAATTATTTATTACTATTATTAATAAAAGTAAATAGTAAATTCAAATAAATAAATAAAGTACAGATTTTGACATTGTTGCTGTTTTATTCTTCTTTCTAAAGACTGGCTGGAAATCATATTTATTATTATTATTACACCTATTTTCTCCCATGCCATGTCAGTATTTGCCCCACCTGCAGTGAAAAGAAAGAAATAAAGTGAGTGGCAAACTGATGTCTGCCCTCTCACTCTGGCAGATTATTTCTCACAGGAGCTGGCTGCAGCTGTATTGTTTCATCAGTCTACACGGAACAACAATAGAGAGAGACAAACAAGAAGAAAAATATGCTTTTTGGGGCAGAATGTGTCTAAATATGATTTATACGATATTTATGCTCAAAACCGCATCAAAACACGTTCACGTTTAATATAGTTAATCTTTAAACCGATGCATCGTGTAGCTCAGAACGGTTTGATTTATTAGGAACATCTTACTTGTTTCTTCGGCTGTTTCACCTTGTTCCTCAAAGAAATTACGTTCTTTCCCCGAGCCCGTAAATCCAAAGTGACTGAATAGTGTCACTGTGAAAACTGCAGGGCCCCGTGGATGCAATTACATCCCCAGTCGCAGAGTGTGTTTGAGAGGATGTGAGTATGCCCACTCTCCCTCATATACTCTCTGAGCCCAAGCCTATTTAAACAGGTACATTAGCGGCATTTTCTCTGGCCCTCTCTCGCATTACATCAACACTGCGAACCTCATGCCTGTATTTTTGGAGAGGAAAGAAAGTGCGTTTTCCAAGGAGGAGCATAATAGCTTCCAAACAAGATGAAAGTCTGGCAGTGACACAAAAGATGTTCAGAATTTTTTCCAAATTAAAAGCCATTCCTTTTGTTTTAGGTATGCAACACTCAGCCCACCTAAATCAAGCTCATTTAGTCATATTTATGATAACAGACATTTTTAATGAATTAAAACCCCACTTTATGGAGCAGTGTTGTGCGAAAATTAGAGTTCAGGAAGCTGAATTAGAATTGGAGTGACAGGAAGAGAAATGTACTGATTTTTTTCTGCAATTCAAAGCAATGTAACAAAGGTAAATTCTGGGAAACGAAGTGTTCCATTCATCCATCCTTCTATCCTATCTGTCCATATATATATATATATATATTTCAGTTCATTTAAATCCTACTTCCATTCAAATTACAATCCTGTATCCTGTTTGCTACATCAGCTCATATTAAGGATGTGAATTGGAATTTCCAAGGCATTCTCAATTCAGTTCTGAACGGAGCACGGCCCTGTTATTGGTAGAGAGCAATGTGCAATCTTTTACCTGCCATGTCTAACTTCAAACTCGCTGTGACCACTGACCTGCGGTCACCAAGGCTAAATAAACGAGCTAAGGTTCATTCTCCACCTCATTAGGGGGCAGATCTGCTTGGGCTCCTCTCTCATGAAGTAAACTGATGTTGTTCTACTGCACGCTGACAGCAGTGTTGGGTTTTTATGAAGAGAGCCTTTGCATTACAAGTGGCCCTATTTATTATTCTTCAGCCTTGCAGAATGCAGATTGTGGTACACATATTTAAAACACCTCGTGCATTCTTTCATCCTCTCAGGGCAAAAATTAAACCCCAATATTTCCGATATGTCAGCACTGCTGTGGGACTGTCATCCCTGTGACATTTTTCATGAACTCTGCACTTTACTTACAATTGTGGAAGAGTGAGAAAACATAGAAGCTTCCGCCTCCAGCCAAAGCCAAGACCATAATTAGTAGGGTTTAAATCCTAGACAGCAAATGTTCCCTCTGACATAGTGCTCTGGACTGTATTTTAAGTCTTTTCCCGGAACTGATTGGCAAGCGTATTTTCCTGATGACTTTCAATAGACATTCTCCGTAGGAGGGCCGTCTGCCTTTCACTGCTCTCTTCTGCACAACTCAAAGATCAGCTGCATTGAAGCTTTAATTGCTTCATTTGTTGGCATTATCTCTCGCAGGGCAAAAAAAGATTGGAAGAGATCTTGTTTTTTCAGTGGTCGACAGGCTGTCATGTCTTACTGCAATTTGTTATATGGTTAGCACAGACCTTTGAGAGAAACATCTGTGAGTTCTGTGGATAAACCACTGACAGGATGTGAGAGAGCTGTTAATGGCATTCTGCTTTCACTGCAATGTAATTTACAAGAGAATCGCTCCACGGGAGACCCCATAAAGGACAGAGACTGAAAAAGACGACATCGTCCAATGTACAGTATGTACGCGTCCCTCTCATCATAAAAAAATGGGAATTGGAAAATGCACTCTCTCTTTTTTGAGCATTGCCCATTCAAGAGGTGAACACGATTTGAATCTTGTTAAAGTGCCTGCTATTGATCCGCAGGATGCAGATAAATCCATGCTTCTGTAGAAAAGCAGATTCTTATGAAATGAAAGGAGGAATTCTGGGTAGGCAGACTGTGCCTTGGCAGGTGTGGTGTCCTCGGCAGTCGCTCGCTGTATATGTGGAGAATGGTGAGACTCACCCTTGTTGCTATGGTGATAACACTGACTTTTGGTGATGAAAAGCCCTTTCAAGATGTGGACTTGTGTGTGTTCGCGGGGCTTGGTAATTATGGGCTAAATTTGAGCCACTTGAGATACCGTAGTCGATCCAGAGGTTTACTTTCCAATTTAGTTCTTACTTTTTCAATTTAATTTCTCCATTCTCCCTGCTGCTCGCCTGAGTTTTAGTATGAGGAAGCATGTGTGCATGTGTGTGTGGTGGTCTGGGTGTGGATGGTGCTGTCTATACTGTATATGTGGGTCAAATCGCTCTCATAATGCACCGAGACAGAGATACACAAAGACACAGGACCTCTCATCTTCTCACATGTGCCGCAGGAGATCTGAAGTGTCCCTAGACTTCAGTCAGTGATCTGTCAATCTCATCAGATCACATTTTAAAAGAGTGACAGATTTGGCAGTGGTAACACTCCGATCTTTAAATATTGATTCAGGGCCCAAAGCTGTGTTGTACCTCAGAGTCCTGAAAGAGCAGATAATTAGTGATTTTAATTGGATAATCCGTCAAGCTCAGAATGCCAGATGTAAATGTGTGAATCCTTCCCACAATCTCTTGCTGTCACTCAGGGCTACAAGTGTGTAGCAAGGTCTCAACCCTTGGGCTGATTTACCAATAGGGAAGCTGACAAAATGTGTCAACAAACATCTGTGTGGTAGATCCTCTGACTATTTTTATTGACGGGGTGAGAACCTGTCATGCTTTGAATCATTGGGCAACAATTAATCAACAATAACAGGTGTCCACTGGCTTCACAAGTACTGCAAGCTCTATATCAACATTCATCAATGTGACTTTGGAAAGTCATGCTTAAGGAATACACCTATAAATTACTATATCAGTTATTGATTTAAAAAATATATACCTCTATCACTCAATATTGTATATACTGTTTATAAGAAACATTTCAAGAAACATTTCTTATTATTAGCAATGTTGAAAATAGTTTTTGCTGCTTAACATTTTTTGGAAACTTATACACTACAATTCAAAAGTTTGGGGTAAGTAATGTTAAAAAAAAGAAAAGGAAAAGAAAAGAAATTAACATCTATTCAGCAAGGATGCATCTATTTCAAATTGATCAAAAGTAACAGTAATGACGTTAACAAGGTTACAAAAGATTCACATTTCAAATAAACACTGTTTTTATTTTTTACTTTCTATTAATCAAATAAATCCTGAATATCAATAAGAAACATTTTATATATATATATATATATATATATATATATATAATTTGATATGATATAAAATGTTACCTACATTCAAATATGAATTCAGATGCCTAAATAAACTACATTTAATATCTGCAATTTATTGGTTATCAGATATAACATTAAAAATAATTAGTATTATCGCTCTTGATCTGAATTTTAGTAACAGTGAATCCATAATTACTCCTATAATTGTTCTTATTTATTATATGTGAGTGGTGCATGTGGAAACAGCAAACTGAGGAAGCGATTTTGTTATGCAAATGCCATTTGTGTATATTAGCAAACATTTAAGCAGAGAGAGTGCCCTTGTCTATCCAGATGGCCAATAATGAAATATGTATGGAGTCAAAAAGACTCACACAGAAAGCTGTTTTGGGTTGACTGCTAATAAAAAGAGAGCTGCCTTGATTATTACAGATGCATCTCTTTTAAATAAAAGGGAAGAGAAAGAGGCAGACAGCTCCTCAACTTGAGCGAGAGAGAGCTTGGCTTTTTTTGTTGTTATAATGATACAAAAAGCAGCTTGAAAGCTCTTTCCTCCAACACAACAAAGGACAGATCTGTATTAATTCTGGCTTAGACAAATCTTTCTTTTTTTTTTAAACTCCACAACAGCTTTAAAACATCATTACATATTTATAACTGCCAGCTAGATGACAGAGATGTAGCATAATGTTCAGCATTTAACAATGAGGCTACTTTGCCAGTGTCCCTCACTGTGAAATCTCTGATTGCACTGTCTAAACCCTCCTTTCATCAAGCCTGGCAACAGAGTGAAACAATTACTCACAAGATGGGGATCCACTTTTGATTTAGCAATGCACCCTTTTAATTATTTATTAACAGGCTCTCGAAAGTTCTAGCATTAAGACTTGTTGAAGCAGTAGAGCCAGCTTACGTAAAAATTGAGCGGAGCTCTTCACCATGCCATGGTCTTTTTTCCCCCATATCCAGCTCTGACATGTACTGAAAAGATGAAAGCTCCAAAACAAACTGTGCCTGAAATCCATGAAGGAAACCACAAATAAGCAGAAGCTGTGCAAATGGCACAGTTTAGACAACAAAACTAACTCTTACTTTCTCTCTCTCTCTCTATGCAGATCAGTCAGAGGGTTTCCACTGCCAAGATGAATGTCGTATCCTGGGCCACTCTGACCGCTGCTGGATGCCCCGGGTGCCTGTGCCGGCAAGAGCCAAGTCTCCTGAACACGGCCGCAATGTCATCGCTCTGTCTATCGAGGCCACCACCGTGGACGTACCTCACTATGAGGACTGTGGCACCACCAAAAGGACTTTTGCCACCTTTGGCAAAGACGGGCCAGATGAGGAGCGGGCTGAACAGAGGGGCAGGCGGCAAACGGCGGAGCCGGCCGTCTGCAGCCCCAAGACCAACGGCACCGTGCGCGAAGCCGGAAACGGCCGGGAGGCCGTCAGCCCCATCACCTCCCCAGTGCACCTGAAGAGCCCCCAGTCCAAACCACCCTCCACCTACAACACGCTGAAATGCAGAGACGCAGAGCGCATAGCCAACCACAGCCTGCTGCGGCAGCCGGAGGGGAAGGACAGTGAGCCGGCCATGCGGGAGATCAACACGCTCCTGCAGGACGGCCGTGAGAAGGAGTCCCCTGGCAGCAAGCGGCTGAAGGACATTGTGCTTTAACCGGCTCCCACGTGTACACAGAGCGCATACACTACTACGAGTGTGTGTGAACGTGTGCGTGTGTATATTTGTGTGCTTTTTGCAAGCGTCGAGCCGAGCGGGCCTGGGGAAGGGAGACACATGTGCAGCACAATGTATTCTCCAGTGACCGAACAAACTAAGCTGAAAATGTGTCTGTGAGCTCAGACTGTCATCGTGGCTTGGTAGTAACAGCAATGCTTGTACATTCGTCGCAATTGTCTTTCCGCAGTGGACAGGCTGGTTACTGTGTGCTGCGTGACACACTCCACCCTGCTCTCACGTCTTACCCTTAGAGGAGAAAGACTTCCAGTGCACCGCTGGTGACACCCAAGTACAGTCATGCCTTGTAGACTCTAAAGAGACTTCTAACTTTCTTCTAATGCCTTCTTTGGTATGCAGTTTTTGCTTCAGCTGCCAAACCGCTCACTGTTCCCGAAGAGGACGTGAGTCTCTCTGATGCTACAGGTGGTGAGACTCTTCCCGTCTAACATGAGCAGTCCGACCGCGCCGTCCGATTGCGGGAGAGCGCACAGAAACACTCCTGCAGATCTCATTTTATTTCAGTGGCTTCTCACTGGTCTGATAAGACAACCCTTCTCTGTTTCCCTCAAGACATACCAATGTCAGCAAACCATGAGGTCGTTACAGTGTGTGAAAAAGATATAGATCTAGTAGCTGAATGTTTTTGCTGGTCTCACCAAACAGCTTCAGGCAACAAGAAAAACGGAATTATCACTGAATGTATACTGCAGCTTATTATTAAACTATTAAATGTTCTCCACTTTGTCTCCTTGTCTAAATTCATCAGTTCTGCATGTTTCCATCACACTCTTTTTAATTTGCCATCAAATGGCTCATAATGGAATAGATCCGCCTCAACTGGAGAGGAAGAGAGCGAGACGGCATTGTTGAAAAGTAATGAGCGCAACCCGAGTTCAGCATACAGCAATTATCCTTTCTTAAGCGATCTTTTGTCTTGCCATAATTCATTAAAATCTATAATGTGATATGAATATCTACTGTTAATTTTCCTAGAAAGTAATATGCTATCGTGCGTGGCAATGGCGGCTGCAGAGAATTGAATCAAATGAAAATTAATTTTCACTGCAGTCCAATCTAAAGGCCTCGGTACAGAATCCTTCTGCAACATCATTTTTAGATATCCTGATTCTGACTAATTGCAAAAATTAAAAACGACAGCAGCAAACACACCTAGTGCTGCCAAATAAAGAAGCCATTTGGGAATCATCCAACTGAGTGTCAATTTCAAATGGCTGGTTGTTCTAATTTGTTGAAGTGGATGATGCACGCAACTGGCCAAGTACATCATTACTTGGATTCATACCCAGTGCAATTCAGTGCTACTTATCTGTCAAAACAACAACTGACAAAAGATCCCAAATGACACTGAAAGAGGGGCGCCTCGTTACAACTTTTAAGCAGGACCGAGTTCCTTCACAAAACTCAAATGCATGCAACCGACTGCCTATAGTGATTGCACTACACTATGTTATGTTTTAATGGTGTTCAGAATCAGGGTCACTCATAGGACATTACACTTAACCCAATGCTTTAAATTCAAAAAGGCTTGTAGGCTTCATCATTAGTTCTGCAAACAAACTCAGCGTAATGACCCAACAAATGCGTTCTTCCTCCGACTACAAATGAATTATAAGGCATGCCCAAATGAGCCTCGTCACCTCATGTTTAATTACTCTGGATTCCTGTTGGTCAGGGTGAATTCATCCCATTATACAGAGATTTATCTCAAAGGTTACTGGGACACACATCCTATTAACGTCCTATTAATGTTTCAATTATAATTTTGCCAAATGGTGGAAGGGGGAATCAGAGAACAATTTAAATGATTTATTCCTGACACCGACATGCAAAGAAATAAGGCGAGGAGGGAAAAAGGGGGGAAAGGGTGCTACTTCTTTCCACCGATACTAAACAGTTTGTACCTTATTCCTTTGAGTAGACCCCTCAATCAGGTCCAGCCATCTCCATTCCTGAATTGACCTCATTCTATCAAAAGGACCACAGCTGCTCCAGCAGCGGGGAAAGGGCTCATTGTGACCCACTGTTCATTCAGGCCAACCTCTGGGACCAGTTCTGTATCCCGTGCCCACCAACCAATGGCTGGAGAGCAAACTGTAATTTCTGGAGGGGACAAAAAGCATTTATCTTTAAAATTCAAATGTAAAAGTTTATTATTATTATTACGGTATTAATTTTAAAAAATATTTCAAAACCAGCTGCTGTGCTTAATATCAACATATCCTTTATTGCACCTAAAAAGCACTTGGATTGTCAGTACTGGGCTACAACCCAGTCACCCTGCTGTGCCCTTTGTGGGAGTGCATTTTGGGACAGGGCAATACATCTCAGGGCCAGTGTTCTTTCTTTATACTCTTAACTTGGATGCTAATTGTGGAACACATCATGGTATAGAGTTGCAAATAAGGACTGGGCCACAGTGGGTGCACTAGCAGCACAGTAAAGAATGTCTTAAAGGGACATTAACCCAAAAGTGAAAATTCTGACATAATTTACTCACCCTCATGTCGTTCAAAACCTGTATGACTTTCTTCTGCTGAACAAGCAAAAAATTTTGATCTTTTCCATGGACTGGAGACAAATAAATACTTTTTACACCACTGAATCAACCAAAATAAATTAGGTTACACCAACAAAAACTACATTTAAGAGTTACATGAGGTAGAACTATCTCCTTAAGGTAACAACTGCAGATTATCACACAATGTTCAATAAAAATGAATTAAGACTAAGTCAAGCACCAAAATGTATAAAAAGAACCATAAAACAACCCAAATGACTGTTGCAAGTAATATGATAGCTTTGTGTTAGTTATAAACTGAAGTTTAATTCATTAATGCATCAAACTATTCATTGAGAGGTAAAAATTTATACTTTTTATGATCAATTTCTTTATATTTATTCACTGTATTGCTTCAGAATACTTAAGAGGACAGCAAAAAGTTATATGAACAAGTTTATTGTGTTTTTCTTTTCTTTGAAACTCAACCCCCTCAGTCCACTTTTTATGATCAATTTCTTTATATTTATTCACTGTATTGCTTCAGAATACTTAGAGGACAGCAAAAAGTTATATGAACAAGTTTATTGTGTTTTTCTTTTCTTTGAAACTCAACCCCCTCAGTGTCAAATTACTTTCAATGCAAAAGCAAAAACAGCCTTGTCTTTTCCACGTACGAAAAAAATAATTTACAATTTACATTTACAATGACATGAGAGCAAGTAAATAATGACAGAACTTAAATTTTTGGGTGAACTATCCCTTTAAGACTGGCAAGAGGAGGACACACTATATTAAATTCAATGGCTAGCTGTGTCTCTGCAACACTCTATCCTCAATTAAAAAAAAACAAAACAAAAAAAACTGTCGCATTATTTACCATCAGCAGTGTAGGATATTGTCATTTTAAGTGCATGTGATATACTGATGTGCTGCTGCGACTGGCTATCTTTCTGGCCTAGACACCATGGCCTTGTGCAGAAGACCAAGGAGGACTTGTCAGGCAGATAATGGCCTCTCCTAAAGATCCACACCTTCAGGCAAGGCCATTATTCTCACCACAGGAGAGTAATCGGATCGACCTGAAGACAGTGCTGAAGACAGTCTACCTGCATGCAGCCATACAGCCCATCTGCATGAGGTGCAGGGAAGCCTAGGGTGCACAGTAGGCTAGAGGAGGAGTGCCTCTGTGCTGGAAGGTCAGACTCATTTGAAAGTGAAGAACACTGGGAATTGTGGTATTAACAAAGAAATGAGAAGCCCATGTGTGATGTGAATAAGGATACAAATCAAAGGCCTAAAGAAGCAGAGGTGACTCTTCGTTTGATCTATTGTCTGACTCACGGAGCTATGTATTGGCCTGGCCTTGCAGAGCGTCTTGACAAGGAAAGAACGTGTGCCTGCACAAAGCGGGAACCTAAACCATTCAGATCAGATTTCTCTGCTCTGAAGACTATTCATGCTAAGTGCCTCCTACATGCTCTTCTCTGTACTCATCTTATAACTCTGAAATTCTTGAGGGGAAGGATCCGGGAGTGTGAATTGCAGGAAGTCAGAGTTCATTACAATAGAGAATAGGGTTATGGATTTACAAGTTGCAAAACAATGGGTCCAAAGAGTATGGAAGGAAGGAAAAGATTGTCTGCCAGGAAATGTACCCATATAATGTGGCCAATACTAATTCAATCAGTTTCTAAACTGTAGCCAGGTTTGCAATTCAGTGCCAAAAAAGATCTGTTCACTTGTCTCACAGGCAACATTACATACAGTATGCCAGATTTTTGCAAACTGATGTTTGCGGACCCTTAGAGGTCTATCTCAAATGGTTCATGGAAAACTCCTAAATTGCGAATAAAAGTATACATATAACAAAAATAAAATAAATACATTTATTAATTAATACAGAAAGAGAAATAGAGACAAATCAGCAAATGTGAAATTATTGACGTTGAATTATTGACAGGGTTGTACAAAATTCAGAACTGAATTTCATTTCATCACGAGAGTACCAAGACGCATGTGTGTGCATTCCTCTGCTTGTAAACAGCACATACGTGTTCTATGACAAAACACCGGCTCCTGCGTCAGCAGCAGCACACGCATGTGTCGTGGTACTCTTGTGAATGGCAGTGGAGACTGACCAGAAGAGAAGAATTGTTGAATAAAGTCATTATTTTTGTTTTCTTTGTGCACAAAAAGTATTCTCGTATCTTCATAAAATTACTGTTGAAAAACTGATGTCACATGGACTATTTTAACAATGTCCTTACTACGTTTTTGGGCCTTGAACTTGGTAGTTCCCTTGCTGTCTATACAGAGTCAGAAAGCTCTCGGATTTCGTCAAAAATATCTTAATTTGTGTTCCGAAGACGAACAAAGATCTTACGGGTTTGGAACGACATGAGGGTGAGTAATTAATGACAGAACTTTAATTTTTGGGTGAACTATCCCTTTAAATAAAACTAACCAAACGTGACTCTACAGGGCTGGATTCATCTACTACAATGAAGACATTCTTCAATGCACCAGGCAAACCAGTTATACAGATACGTGCTTATTTGTAGCAATGTAAAGAAGTGAGGAGTTATTCTAGCGAGGCTAAATTCTCAGGCACATCATTAAGAGAAGCATCACAGGGGAATGTGCTCTTTGTTTACACACGAACAGGACCTGAGGTCGATCATTACCGTCAGTCACATGGTTGATTAGCC